GCCGCCGGCGGCCCGAGGTAAGAGGCGGGCGCGGGGCGCGGGGCGCGGTCCTCCTGATCTCGGGGTAACCGCCGCGAGTTCCAAGCCGCGCGGCTCATCGTCGCCACCCGCGCAGGTTAGAGCTCAGCACACCCAGCCGGGGCGGACACGGAATTCCGCGCCGTTCTCTGTGTGTTCACAGCCTGCGTGTGGGAGAGCGTCCTCAGATCCTAGATCCTAGTGCAGGAAAGCGGGGCCTGGCTTCTAATCCTAGAGGCTTGACTGTAAGGGAAGTTAGTACACCTGTCTGAGTCCCCATATCCCAGTATGGTCCTTGGGGTTGCCTCCGGGCCCTTCGCATTGAGCTACCTTCCTAGCCCTTTTAAAAAATCATATTTTTGTTTTGAGACAAGGTCTGGCTACTAAAATTGCTCAGCCTGGGCTCCAGTTTATGATCCTCCAGACTCAGTCTATCAGAGTGCGGGGATTATAGGCTTGTGCCACACACCTCTCTTTTTTACTCATTTGTAAAACAAGTCTGCTGATCTCACTCCATAAACGGCATAAAGCGTGTCAAGGGTCTAACATGGTGCCTGGCACTTAATTTCTGACCCTCATCGCACTAGGCTTCCAGGGGTTTTTAGATAAAACAATCTTAGGGGTGCACCTGAAAACTGCCTCCGTTGGTCTGTACCCCCCATACACACACACACACACACACACACACACACACACACCCCAAATCACCACCATCATCCACACACATTTAATGCAGCATATACTTTAAGATCCTCCTGGCCTGGACTTGGTGGTTGGAAACCGAGTGAGCTCCAGAGCCCAACTGTGGACCTGGCCACAGGTGGAGAGGACAGTAGAGCGCTGACTTAGCACAAAAGCAGTTTTAAAGGCCTGTTAGCAGGAAACAAAAGCCTGTTTCAACTGCTGTGGACATTCTGAGGTTGCATCTTTCCTTCCTTCTTCTTAATTTTAATTAGGTAAACAACTTGGATTACAGCTTCTGTTACTATTTTTAGCTGTCCCAGAAGTGTCCTTGCTCAGACTCACTGGGGACATGTTAGTGGAAGTAAGTTTTGAGTACTTTTGTCCAGTCTTTTCCTGACAATTCGGGATTTGCCCTTTCCCAGCTCTCTACATTTTGCATTGATTGCCTGATTATTCCTTCGCTTCTAAAAGAGCCAGGAAAAAAGTAAATCGGGTTTCCACAAAAGTTGATATTAAGTTTTTACCTATCTGTGCATCAGAAGGTAGCCTCTCAGGCAAAGAGATGAGGTAAAACTTAACATTTTAATTGTACAAGGGAAGTATGCCAGGTCAGTTAGGGATCTGTTGTCAATGCCCGGGAAGTGTTGTGGTCCCTATAATACCACCCTGTCTTCTTACTGCAAAGTTGTTGTAGTTGGCCCATATTTATTAAATTACTCTTATAAAAAATCCCAGGCACTATTAATTGCATAAGCTCCCAAAGTAATACAGTCTAAACTACCTAGTAATTTAGTTACTAAAGTAAGTTAATGCCTCTGTGTACAGCTCTTTGAAATTTCAAAAGAATATCAGAAATGTAAGACCGAACTACACCTTTAAAGCGTATGGTTCTGTTTCTCTAGCCTCTGCTACATGCTAGCTGGAGGCCTCAACTCCAATAAGTGAATTATTGGAGTTTCAATGTGCTTGTGTATAAAGTGACCAAAATTGACATCCTGCTGTCTGAGTCATTGTGAAAATGATGCGGTTGTGCCTGTGACCGTGTTGGAATCTGTCAACCCGCATGCAGATCCCAGAACCATGAGGAAGAAGTCAGAACAGGCCAGGAAGCAACAGGACCCCTAACACGGGAGCAACCTGAGCTCCTCTCCGATAAGCAGAACCAACCAAATAGAAGTGCATAGCTATAAAGTACTTAAGGAGCCCAAAAACAGGTTTTACAAGATGATCCATGGGAATATTATTTCTATATAAAAAAATAAGGAGGTAGGTCTATTTTGCTTCTGTAGGGTACTCACTGTATTGATTTCAGGCAAAACAGACTTCAGACCAAGGAGAATGACTGTGGATAAAGAGGGACATTCCATAATGATAAAAACAGTACTTAATGTTTATGTGCCTACTGACCGCCCAAGCATGTGAGGCAAAAATGGGCAGACCTGGAAGCAGAGAGACGTGAACCTGCTGTTATAGTTGGAGGTGTCCACACGCCTCTGTCCAAAATAAGTGGATCCAACAACAGAGAATGCACACGCCCTCGGCTCCCAAGAGCCTTTTGCTGAGGTGAACCACATTTGATCATTAAAGACAGTGGTTTCCTGGGACAGTGTTCAACATGGGGCGGGCTCTGATGCCCCCTCCTGGTCAGGCTCTCCTTTATGGCCCTGTTTTGCAAAGGTACCAGATAAAAGGGGGATTCCAACAGGCTTTCTGATGACTTTCAGTTCACACATGCAGAGGTGAGTGGAATTAGAGTTTAGATTACTTAGTTTTTTTTATAAAATAGTCTTCACATCAGACTAGTAACTTTGAAAGTATTCCACATGGCAATACACAGTGAAAGTAATCATACGTATGAAAGCCAACTGTACCAAACAAGAATGTGGCTAAACTGACAGTCCCCCTTCCACTCCACACACACAGCTTTCTGTGACAGGCACCTAGGAAAAGAAGTATAGAAAAGAAGTCAGATGAATCACAGCTGACAAAAATCCTCAGAAACAAATCTGGATGGCATCATGAAGAGTGGCTGAACAGCAGGTTTATGTGCACTGTCATTAACAGCACAGCAGTGATGGTCACTGGATTTTGTCCCTTTTGGTATGAGTGCCCAGTTAATGTGATCACCACGATTAGCACAGCAAATGCTTGTCCCATCTGCATCACACCTTTACAGTTTTATTTGTGCAAGTGGCATGCCATTTGCAAACTTATTTTTTGAAAGCGCACGCCGCTTTTTAAACTCGTCATTGCTTAAGCAAAACCCCTTCAGTAAAGGGGAGGATAGGCAGAATGGGAGCAGCGTCTACCCCAGGTCGTGCTCCTGTCTGAGCACGCACAGAAGTGACAAATGAGGTCATTTTGGTGATACTGCAGGACAAATAAAGCTGCCTTACATGGAAGACATGAATGAGCACACTTGAAAGGGGCTTTGTCACATAAGACAAAAACCAAAATGAGCCCAGCAACATACACTCATGGGCGTGGCCGAGACTGTGAAGACGGGCCCTGTTGGTTGTTAGTAAAAAGTGAAGTCACTGGATTGATTACATGTTGTTCATCAGCAAATCAAACCACCACCTTGGAGAAAAGTTTGGCATTTCCTTTAATAGTTAGACACATACCTATATGTGATTTAGTATTTTTAATTAATTAAGTTTGTTGGTACATTTTAGGTATACATAATGATAACATTCATCATAGGGGATTTGTACTTGTACATGATGTCACTTGATTTTTTTTCCCATTCCCTTACCCTCTTTTCAGCCCCCTTCCTGTCCTTATTTACAAAAGCTTTGTTTCCATTTTTTCCTCCTTTCCTTGTTTTTCCCTTTCCCCTTCCTTCCTTGCCCCCTGCCCTATCCCGTTCCCCTTCCTATTTGAACATTTTCTTCTTATTTAATCATATCTATTATACATTTGTGTCCTTAAAGAAACAATGTGGTATTTACATATGTGTGATTTATTTCATTTCAGAGTATGGTCTCAAAGTGCAACCATTTCCCTATAAATGTCTCAGGATTATCCCTCTTTATGGTGGAGTAGTATTCCATTGCTTACAACAACCACATTTTCTTTATCCATTCATCAGTTAATGGTCATTTGGCCTGTTTCCAAGATTTAGCTATTACAGTGCCACTATAAACATAGGTGTGCATATATTGTATCATGATCTTTTTGTGGGGAGGGATACTGGGAATCAAACTCATGACCTTGCACTTGCCAGGCAGGCACTGTGCTGCTGAGCTATATCCCCAAGCAGGTGGACATATATTGCTGTAGTATGATGCTTTCAGTTCTTTTGGGAAGATATCAAGCAGGGGAATAGCCAGGTTGAATGGAACCTCTAGTCCTAGTTTTTTGAAGACTCTTCATACTGATTTTCACCAGTCTACACTCCCAATAACAGTGGAGAAGGGCTCCTTCTCCCCCGACAACCCCACAAGCATTTGTTGTTGGCTGGCTTCTTGATAATAGCCATTCTTTCTGGAATGAGATGGGATCTCAGTGTTGTTTTAATATGAATCCCTCAAATGACCATGGATGTTGAACATTTTTTTCACATATTTATTTGCTGTTTCTACTTTATCATCTGAGAAGTGTGTATTCATCTCAGATGCCCATTTTTGGATTGAGTCTTTAAATTTGGGGGGGGGGTCTGATTTTTTTTTGAGTTCCTTATATATTCCAAATAGTAATCCTTTGTCTGAAGAACAGCTGGCAAACATTTTTCCGCACACTGAGGGTTTTCTTTTCGCTCCACTGGTTGTTTATTAAAGAGCAAAAGCTCTTTAATAAGGTGAGATCCCAGTTGTTGATTCTTTGTGATAGTTCCTATGCAATTGGGGTTTTGTCTTTACCTACACCAATGTCTTCAAGAGTTGTACCTATTCTATCTTCCAGCAGATTTAGTGTTTCTGTTCTAATATTTAGATCTTTGATCTACTTCAATTTTAGTTTAGTGTATGGTGAAAGATATGGGTCTATTTTTAATGTTCAGCATGTGGGAAAGCTAGTTTTTCCAGCACCATTTATTAAAGAGACTATCTTTCTTCCAGTGAAGATGTTTGGCTCCTTGTCAAAGATAAGGTGACTGAGTATATATGGAGTTGTTTCTGTCTTCTAATCTGTTCTATTGATCCTCAGGTCTGTTTGCTGATTGTTGTTCGTTTGTTTCCTGGTACCATGCTATTTTTATCACAGTAATTTTACAATATAATTTCAAGTCAGGGATCATGGTGTCCCCTATCTTGCCTTTGTTGCCCAGAATTGATTTGCTATTCTAGGTCTCTTTTTTTTTCCAAATGAATTTTAG